CGGGTATAACAGAGATCCGAAGACTTGGATCCTGGAGTGGATGACAGGAAACGTTCATCATGAAGCCAAAGCCTTTGACATCATTGAGCTCACTGGTCTGCCCACTCCCGGAGATCTCTACGAATCTAGCTGTCAACTTCACAGTGAAGCTGTGGAGAGCATCTTTCAGAAGCCTGAACCTAACATGAGTCAGATGCTCAGTATGATGAAGCCATTACCCCAAGATGCTGCATATCCCAAAGTGTTCTTTGTTGAAGACCTAGAGTATCTGCCAAGGACTATTTATCACATCATAAGGCGAACTCTCTGGCCTATCAAAGGGCACTCTCCACATGCCAAGCTTGAAGGTGCAATGAAGACTTTGGTCTTCTATATTCTTCATGGAAAATGCTTCAATGCACAGGACTTCTTCATTCGCCAACTGGCTGCATCAGGCTCAAATCTGTTTGGCTTGAAGTTCTACGCCCCATGGGTCATGCGGCTGATCAAACTTCACTCCACTGTCTCATATCAGCCATCTGCTCGCAATCATCGGATTTTTCTGCCTGATGTGGATATGTCTATTGAAGCCATCTATCCTGAGCCTGCCAAGGAACCCCTAAGTCTTCAGAATGCAGAGCATCAGAGTTTCTCTCAAAACATTGAAGGAGTTGAAGCAGTCGCTCGTGTGTATCCTTTGGCTGGCACTACACGTGCACCACATCCTGCAATCACTGAAGCCACTGACAGTACAACTGCTCCACGACCCAAGAAGCGCACTCGTGTTCTCAACGACCGAGAGCTTCTTGTGGCTCTTCATCAGAAACAGGATAGGCATCATGACTGGCTGAAGCGTCAAATGCAAAGCCTCTTGGTAGATGTTAATCGCATTCGCAATCTTGCCACCAAGAATGCTTTTGTTGCCCATGAAACCTCTCGCCGCACATGGAAAGGGCTGACACTAATGTGTTCTGAAGATGATCTTCAAGAGGATGGCTTCACTGAGCACTTCAAGTTTGACTCCACACCTCCTCGAAGGGCAGTGCTGCGACGAACTCCATCTCTTGAAGACTCTGAGTTCTCTTCCTCTGCTGCAACTGTGAATGCCAGAGTGATCGAGGATGAAGCGATGCTACTTCACCGCCACCTCCTTCAGCACGCTTCGACTCTGCTCCAAGCTCTTCTGCACCGCCAAACACCACCAACGACCCTGCTGCTTCACCTACTCTTCATGGGAACGAGTAGATGCTCTATGTCTTCAAACCTTTTTGGTCCTTACTGACAGAAGGGGGAGAAGCTGAGTTTGATAGTCTTCAAGCGGGTCCATATGGGCGGGTGCTTTATATTTTGCTTCGTGTTTACAACTCTCGTTTTGATACATTTGGTTCTTTGAGTTGTAACACTTAAAACTCGATGGTCGTCTGCTACCTATTTGCCACCTTGTGATGCGATGATAAATTCCGCATGTGCGACGATAAATTCCGCACTTAGATCATTTTGCAGACGTCCATTTTCCATTATGCATGTCATTATCTTCACATACCCTTTTCATGCATAGTGGATTGTCATCATAAGTTGAAAAGGATCTCCACAAGCACAACCTGCCATGTGCATTTGCATTCCAAAAGCAAACTACTTATATGCACATCTTCAGGGGGAGCCCTTGCAACTTATGAAGACAATTCCTTATCCTTTAAAATTTCACAATTATATTCCCCGTTGAAAACTTCAACTAGTTTGTCATCAATCACCAAAAAGGGGGAGATTGTAAGTGCATCTAGTGCCACCCCTAGTTGGTTTTGGAGTATTGACGACAAACCTAGTTGAGGGACTAATGTGTTTGTGAGAATTGCAGGATAACACAGGTAGAAGTCCCTCATTGATTCGGTTTTCCTACCAGAGATGACCCCTAAAAATGTATGAAGACATTGAAGTCAAAGGTGGTATATGCAGACATTCACATTGAAGACTATGACAAGAGAAGACATCGCATGAAGCCTATGGAGCTCGAAGACTTAGATCTTTCGTAGTTCTTTTTCTTCTTTGTTGAGTCATAGGAACCACCGCACTGTTAAGTGGGGTCCAAAAGAACCATTCAGAATGACTGAAGTGATGCTTAAACAAAACCTATGTCTTCGAGTGAAGACTATGAGAGCGAATCTTGTCCAGAGTCGGACAAGTCAGCTTTGCTTGTTGCCCAAGTAAAGTTGCCGTGTGAGTTTGAAATCTGACCGTTGGAACACGTGTCAGTTCCTTAGTGACCCAGGGTCATTTCAGACAAATCAGGTCGGGTTGCCTAGTGGCTATAAATAGCCCACCCCCTACAACCATAAATGGTTGGCTCCTCAGAGTTAGTATACGGCTTTTGTCGTTTGAGAGCAACCCACCTCGAAGCATTTGAGAGAGAATTCCTTGCGCCCTAACCACCCAGAGCCAAAGAGAATTAGGCATCACTTAAGTCTTCTTGTCTGTGTGATCTGAAGACTTATTACACTTGAGGACTGTGCATCCTCCAGCCGGTTAGGCTCGCGTTTTGAGCATCCAAGAGACATTGTGGATCGCCGGTGAACGAAGTCTGTGAAGGTTTGGGAGTCTACCTTGAAGACTTACCAGAGTGATTGGGCGAGGTCTGTGTGACCTTAGCTCAAGGGGAATACGGTGAGGACTGGGTGTCCTGAGCTGCGTGTTCAGGACTGGGTGTCCGGGACTGTGTGTCCTTAGATTTAAATACCTAGCCGCCCTAACCAGACGTACAGTTGTCACAGCAACTGGAATTTGGTCCAACACATCATGTCTTCAACAAGTCACTGGTTTCATCCTTCCCTTCTCTTTACGTACTGTTTCTCCTTGTGAAGACATTGTATGATTGCACTATCTTTTATCTTCACTGAGTGACTGCGTGTTCTGTTTGGCTTCATAATTTCTTTCCTACTTGATCCTTACTACATTGCTGCTCTTAGTCATTGTGCTTTCACTCTATTGATTACTTGACTATGGCTTGCCTAGTGTAGTCTACCTTCCGCTGCAGGGTAATAGGTTTATTTCGGTCGTTTGTCTTCATAACTTCCACGTTTTGAAGACTTTCATAAAAATTGCCTATTCACCCCCCCCCCTCTAGTCGATATAACGCACTTTCAGCGGCGTCAGGAGAGCGCGGCGGCGTCAAAACAAGGAGCTGGCCGGGGCCGCGGGGGGCGACTTCATGCTAGCGGCGATGTCAGAGTGAGGGATGGAAAGCCGCGGTTGCCCGACAGTAAGGTGGTGCTGATGGCGACGTGGGAGGTGGCGGCATGGGGGTGGGGGTGGGAGTGAGGTGTGGAGGCGCCGACTGCTGGCAGAGACACCTGAATTTGGCGGCGGCGGCGACGAGATGGGGCGGGCGAGGGCTTGTTGTCGATAGGGGTGAAAGAGCATGGCCAATGTGTCCTCTTCCTACATGTCTTGCGCACCACACTCCGACGCCAGAGGCACACGGTGATTTGTTTGTGTGCAAACAAAGGTTACCATTAAATATGATGCTAAGAACTCTCCAAAATGACACTAATGTTAACGGATAGTCGAACAAACACACAAATATCTCCTCTAAACAAGATCAGACATAAACTGGTTCAAATAGAGCAACTGGTAAACAATCTCAGGAGGTTGCTTCTCGTTGGGTTTGAACTGGTTCAAATAGAGCAACTGGTAAACAATCTCAGGAGCTTGCTTCTCGTTGGGTTTCATACAACATACATAGAGAACCACAGAGCAATATTAGAGAAAACTTGTCTGATGAAATAAAAATTGCCCGACCATGAAATAGTATTACTGTATTATTTTTTAGCCGTGGAGGAGAACTACATGTATATTACTTCCTTGTAAAGAAATACTCCCTCCGTTCCCAAATATTCGTCTTTCTAGAGATTTCAATAAGTGATTACATATGAAGCAAAATGAGTGAATCTACACTCTAAAATATATCTATATACATCCGTATGTTGTAATCCATTTGAAATGTTTAGAAAGACAAATATTTGGGAACGGAGGGAATATAAGAGAAGGAGAATAAAGGGAGGGGTCAAAGCCAACACAAACGACAGACAAGCCAACACAACATCAGTCACCCAAAAAAAAGCAAGATACGCAAGACCAAACCAAGAAGGCTCCGGCCAACCAAACCTAGACCTCAATCTTGTTTCATTCCTTGCTTCCAACCAGTTGTGTGAAATTAGCATTGTAAGCTGAAGTGCAGAACACAAACAACGTGCCCGGCCTGGAATTTAAACTTGCATCACTAACAGAACAGGAAGAGATGGTAGCACTCACTGTGAGACTCTGAATTCAGAGATCCAGAAAGAAGACACACAGCGAAATTCCCATGATGCACCAAAATCATTTTATTTCTACTTCAACATTGGACTGAGCGCATCCAGCGTCAAACTATGGATCAAGCCGCACCGGCCAAAGGCCAAACAATTTGTCACCTAAAGAACAAGAGGAAGACACGACAATTTGTCACCTAAAGAACAAGAGAAAGACGCTGACTTCTGAAGGAAAATGTGGTCCCTGCTTTGCCAAATTTTACCAAAATTCGTCATGTTATCGCAGACTTGGCCAAATTTTGGGTCTGCATGGATGTTTGACAAGGTTTTAGACATGCTATGTATGTGATATGACATTAACTGTTTTTCCTTTTTTTTTCACCGAAACATAAGAATACTCGAGTTCCCATCATCATTGTCAGGACACACGCTTGATCCAAGAATCAAAGTGTTGATCCAAACAACCACATGCACAAGTATGTGCTCTCTACACACTGTACAACAGGCATAGTTGCCACAAGGGAGAACTAGACCGCAAAACTGATCTTGGCGGCACAGAGATATGAGCAGAAGGTGAACAATCCTGCTGCAGTGGGCATTGATCATAGCAGATCCATGAGACCATACAGTGGACAGAACCCAAACCCACATATACATATCGCTTCGAACCAGAAGCACCAAGACGGTGATGACCAAGCTCGCCATTGATATCATGCTACATCAGTCATCTTCCTCCAGATCACTGAAAGATATATCCTCATCGTCGCCTACTATTGGAATGTGCGTGCTTCCTGGACCAGCCGTGTCCTCTTCCAGCCATTCATCCCCATCATCATCAGTGCCATCGTTATGGGACTTTTGAGTGACAACTCTTGATTGCTCGCTGAGGTCACTCAATGACCATTTATGTTGATCTTCTTCCGATGGAGCACTGTCTACAAATGGTACACACTGCTCATTTGCTACAACATCATCTGTAATTGAGTCGGGTGTTCTTTCTTCAATGCTAGATTGTGAGAACCCAGTGGGATGTTCTTTAGAGGGAGTGTGAATGGTTTCTCCCATCCTTGATTGTGAGACTGAGAACTCAGTGGCATCTCTTAATACCGGCAATAGCTGTACAGGCACGCCACTGCTGATTTTATCTGAAGGAACAGCTCCAGCATCACTGACTGTATCTTTTGCTAGCTCTTCCAGAGGAATCGATTCAAGTATACCATAATCTACATTGCCCAAAGCTGTGGGCCTGCCGGAAGCATCTTGATCTTTTACTACGCTGACCACCTCTACAGGTATAGGTACAGTACCATCTCCATTACTGAAAGTCAGAGCCACTGTGTCTTCGTTGCTCTCTAGCTTTGTCCGATGTTGCGAATTTTGTGACAACTTCCCTCTAGCTTCCAAAATCTGTGCAGTAAAGAAAAGGGATATAAGAAATTCGCCACCAAAACAATGTAATACCACCAACTACTTTATTGTGCAATCATGAGCAAATTAAGCATCAACCATCAGTCAATATATTTATTTCTCAAGCAATCATATGAACACTAAAATGTCTTAATCTACTATTATGTATTAGTTTGAAAATTAGCACTTCTCGGTCTCATTATGAAAAGATAGTGTTCCAATATTTGCAGAGCCTGTTTAGTATGCTAGCAAAATTTCCAAACGGGTAAATTTTGAAGCCAAACATTTGTGGCTAGCCAAGTTTTGGCATGGCAAATGTTGACAGCAAACCAAGAAGACTCCTAGTGACACAATATTAACTTGATGTCTAGTCGTGCACCTTCAGTGTCCAACATTTCTCTTGATTCACTTTATATTCCATTCCAATACTTCGAACCCATGAAAAAATATCACAAGGGAAGAAAACTAAAAGGTTGAAATAATAGGTACCCAGTACCATTTAATAAAACAAAACAACCAATAGAGAGAATAGATAAACTCGAATTCATCTGCTCATTTTAGACATGGAACTGAAGTGGACCACTTGTATAACAATATGATTTAGAGACTCAGAACTGAACCTATTGAAATACAATATTACCTAAAATTAGGCTAGCCACTCGATCACCATGTTAGAATTCAGTGGCAAGTAACTATTGCAACGAATCACTTTGTCCAAATTAGTAACTTCAGCTTAACAAGCCTATTTTGCTATGAAAATAGGCCATCAATTTTATATAAAAACTTTTCAACATCTAGAATACCAAATCAATGACATTACCGAAAAAGGCTTCCACCCGATTCATCTTGAAATATATTTTCGTATGGTATATACTTGGTATTGTAGATATAGATAACTTTCTCTATAAACTTGGTCAGATTTTGTGAAATTTGACTCTTTAAGAAAACCAATGCGCTCTACATTATGGGACAAGGGAGTAGTATTTTAAAAAATGATTCACCATTTCTAGTTTTAACATAATTCAGATGAAGAACGAACATGGGAACATGTAGTTGACACATTAACCTGTTATTAAGTTTAAGCTTTGGTAAGCTTAGCTCCACAAAGAAGAGAAGCTCCAAAGCAAGCACATAAGCACAGAGTTTAAGAATATCTTGAGACGGCGATTAGACAATCAAATGCCAACACAACAAGGTAACAACATGGTTCTCAAAAAAAAAACAAGGTAACAACATAATCTCCCCAATGGCCCCCAATGGCGTATCACCGCAAACTTCCATGATTCCCAAATACAACAGATATCAAAATATATGCCCATAATAGTGTCCACCTGACAAGTGACAACTAATCTGATTTCACATCAGATTTCCGGTCATATACACCCGTCGGCGAATAAATCATAAGTAAGCCATTGTGACCCAGATGAAGCATGAAATCAAGGGAAATCACCTGAGGAGTAGAAAGAAGCTCGGCTTCCTCCTTTGTGAGCTTAGGGTGCAGTAGCACAAAGTATATCTTCCAGAAGCAGCCCTCGCTCATGTGGCTTGGGCAGAGTTCGATCCTCAGATCTGCCAGCTCCGGCGCCATGCTCTCGACGGCCAGCGCGTGATCTTGCTGCGCATCACTAATGTCAAAATCTGCACTTAAATCAACAACAACATGGGAGAATCACAAATCAATTAAGATTGTAAAGAAGGATTTACGAAGACGAAAGGTCTTGGAGGCGAAGGAACGCACGAACCGTCCGAGTCCGCGTCGTCGGGGAGAAGGGGGAAGTCCAGCCAGAGCTCGGGCCGCATGGCGGCGTCCCGCGCGAAGGCGACCACGTCCTCGGTAGCCCCGGCGGCCTCCGACCCGCCCCAGTATTCGTCCGGGTGCAGTAGAGAGGACGCGTTCTTGGCGAGATCTGCCACGGCCTGGCGGCCCGGGAGCCGCGCGAGCCCCAGGCGGAAGCGCCCCGCAATCTCGGACGGGTTCAGCCCGCGGGGTGCGCCGCCGCTTCCTGCGGGAGTGGGCGCCGCGAGGAAGGAGGCAAGGCCCTGGAACCGGTGGGCGAGGGCGTCAGTGAGCTCCGAGAGATCCTCGCGGACGCCGCGAGGGGGTGAGCCCGGGGAGGTGGAGTCGGAGGCGCGGGGGTCTTCGCCGTCGGCCTCGGGGCTGTCGGGGGATAGGAGGGAGTTGGCGATGGAGCGCGCGAGCCAAGACATTGCCGGCGGCCGCCGCGATCGCGACGGCGGGAGTCGGCGACTTGGGTGGAGGGTGCGTGACTGATGGTGCGTCGTTGCCGTGCGCTGTCTGTTCACTGTCGGGTGGCGCCTAGCCGCATAGGGACACGTCATCTAAAAAACAAGAGGCACGTCTTTTTTCCTCTTCTTAGCCTCTGGTCATAGCGGGGAGTAACTTATACTCTATTAGTGTCAGGGCAATTTAATTTATGAGAAAAATTTACTATAGGTCTCAAAACTTGAGCGGCTGACACTTTAGTCACTGTACTTCAAAATACCCTAAATATCATCTATATACTTACTCTAGGGGTTCACTTCGGTCCATATATACGATTTTGTGTACAGCGTCAACGCTCGCCACGCGTGCTTTGACTGCCACGTAGTTAGGGGAGAAGGAATACTCATCGCTCGCCGTTGCTGCTAGTCCTGCTGTTGGGCGTCGCGCGGCCACGCGACGCAGCTCGCCCTGGCGCTTAACCAGGACGGCGTGCTGCTCCTCTCCTTCAAGTCCTCCCTCCTTGCCGACCACCTCGGCTCCATCTCCGGCTGGGGCTACGCCGACCATCTCCGGCTGGGGCGCTGCCGGAGCACGTTGGCCTGCTGCGCAGCCTCTGCGCCCTCAATCTAGCCGGCAACGCGCTCTCCGGCACCATACCGGGGAACCTCACCCTGCTCCGGAACCTCATCGCTGTCTCCCTCGCCAGCAACTACTTCTCCGCAAAGTGCTCTGTGTATATTAGTGCATTTTAAGTTTGCTCGAACTGATGTTCAGATTCATCCATAGTTTATAGAGTAGTAGTACGTGCGTGCTGGTGATCAGTCGACGACCATGCATGTGTGTATGTGTGAGATGTGCTTAATCATGCAGGGTATCATCGGCGTCCTCCGCACTGCCAATCTGCTCCTCGTCGGCCTCGCGTGCTGTAGTGTGCTAATCGCCACCGCCGGCGGGGTGGACGGCGCGTTCAACGTCGAGGACTACGGTGCTCTCGGCGACGGGACCACGGACGACACCAAGGTACGCACGCGCCTGCTCTACGTCGATAATACTGGTGTATACCTGATGGCCGGATGTGTGTTGACTATCTGCACCGTGTGCGAAGGCGTTCGTGGACGCATGGGCGGCGGCGTGCGACGCCACTGGCTCGTCGATGACGCTGCTCGTGCCGGCGGCAAAGTCATTCCTCGTCGGCCTCACCAGGTTCAGTGGGCCATGCGCCTCCACCAGAATCACCGTCCAGGCACGCACCGCTCGTCTGTCCTTCCTGATCTGGGTCGTGTTTTGGCTTTGGTTGTCGCAGGCCATGGGCACGATTACGGCGCCGCCGCGGGCGCATGGAGCGAGAAGGAGAACTATTGGCTGATGTTCTACCAGATCGACGGGCTCACGGTTACCGGCAACAGCACCGGCTTGCTCGACGGCAGAGGCGAGACGTGGTGGAGCGATAAATGCAAACACGGTGATGATGTGAGAAGCCCAAGTCAACTCTTAAGGAATTTCTTTAATTCCTCCTTGCATTTGGCAAGTGCCTTTAGATTTATCAATCTTCTTCGGAGAGAAAGTATTTAATGGTCGATATTTTCTTTCAGGATTGTGTAACCTCCTCCTCAACGACGCCGGCGACCCTGTTGCACCTGCACCTCTGCCGGTGAGCCGCAGCAGCCGGTGCCGCCTAGTGCTCCGCGACGTCAGCTGCCGCGCGAGCCCCGGCGAGCTGCTCGCCATCGTCGGCCCCAGCGCCGGCAAGTCCACGCCGCTCGAGATCCTCTCCGGCCACCTTGAGACCAGCTCCTCCCCTTCTACTGACCTCCGCGTCAATGGCTCGCCCGTGGACGCCACGGGCTGCGGCCGTTCGCCGCCTCTGTGGCTACGCCACCCAGCGCGACGTCGTCTTCCCGCTGCTCATAGTGCGCGAGACGCTCCACTTCAACGCGTGCCTTCGCCTCGGCTCGGACGCATAGGACTGTTGACACACGAACACGTCACGTGTACCCTCGACGTCGGGGGTGATGCACCGCAGCTCACGTCGAAGGAGACCCGACCAACAGCGCGATACGCAAGACAGTCGGTGGGTGCTTTTGCAGACCCGAAACCCCGCGCACCCGGGAGGGACCCCGTCAGGGATTGCGGCGGCTATGGGCTGCCCTAGGTCGATTCGCTCGCCCCTAGAGCCTCGGGATTCGCAGCTCTCAAACACGAAGAATAGCAAAGAACGAGAGAGAAAAACGGTGGAGAGATAAAAAGTAGACAGGAAAAAGTAGTATATTGATTTGTTCGATTGTGTGTTCTTCAATCGGCCGTCACCCCCAACATATATAAGAGGCGGCTGGACTTCCCGTACAAGTAAAGGATTCATCTAGGCTTTCCTTACAAGAAAAATTACATCAATTCGCGTCCTAGAGTCCTAGTTCTATTCCAACTCGGATTCAGTCTGAATCTGGCCCAACTTCTGTCTTCCTCCTTGTGCAGGCCGCCGAGCCTTCATATGACCTCCGATCAAGATGGCCCAAACATCAAACTTGTGCGCCTCGACGATACGAACAACTCTCATGTTGACCACTTTTTCAAATAAAGCCATCTTGAATACTTTTCGAGGTCGTTTTTACCTTCCAGTCGGACTCGGTCTTGCGGTAGACTGAATTATCCGAGTGTTGTAGTGAATTTGCAGGTCATATACTATCTCTGATGACGATGACTCCAAAACCAAAGTTTACCGTCTTGATGATACGCACAACTTCTATATTGAACACTTCTTCATCCGAGATTATCTTGATAAACTTTTGGGCACATGTTCAGTTTCACTCGGATTTGAGCTCATCCACTCGGATATTAGAGTCTTTCACTCGACTGGACCTTTTCACTCGGATGACTATATTTTCACTCGGAAGACAATCTTTCACTCGGATGATGACCACATTTTCAGTCGGAAGACAATCTTTTACTTGATCGACCAATTTTCACTCGACCTTTTACTCAATCGACCTTTTACTCGATCGGTAGGTTTTCACTCGACTTTTTACTCGATCGGTAGGTTTTCACTCGACCTTTTACTCATCGGTAGGCTTTTGACCTTTTACTCGATCAGTAGGTTTTCACTCGACCTTTTACTCGATCGGTAGGTTTTCACTTGACCTTTTACTCGATCGGTAGGTTTTCACTCGACCTTTTACTCGATCGGTAGGTTTTCACTCGACCGGTGAGTTTTCACTCGGATGGTAAGTTTTTCACTCGACCAAAAACATAGCCTGATCTTGATTTGTCTCTCCAAGTCTCATACGACCTCGGATTGAGACGAATTATATATGAAAATCGATCGGCTCGACGAGACGAAACTTTTCCGTGTTGAAGGTTTTTCAATTCAAGGCTGTCTTGAAGGCCGAATTGCTCACGCATTGCGTCAGACACTTATCAACATGTGTCTAGTGTCAAGCGTAATATTTTGGTCTCTGACCTGTCCAGACCGTATTGACTATAACTTTTGCATATGAACTCGGATTGAGATGATTTATATATGAAAATCGACTGTCTCGACGAGACGAAGACAATTCCTTTAGAGCACTCCTTCATCTGAGGTCATATTGAGGACGTAATCGGCCGAAAAGCACTCAGAATATTAAATTTTGTCACTCGGAGTACAGCTTCGGCCACTGAGATGAGGTCGAATGTCGATAGCCTAAACATCAAAGTTATTCCACTCGGCGATATGAAATTTTCTCATGTTGAAAACCCTTTCACTTTGTATCTTGCCAAAATCAGGTGTCAACACATGCCCCCCTGTTTTTCGGCAAAGCTTGCATGCCGAAAAATAATATGCATAGTGTTCGTTCTAAGGACGATGTTAACACTCCATCGGCCATTTATTTTTCTCAGGGCGATAATTATGTATCGGCCATGTTTGTGCTAAGGGCAATAATTGTATATCGGCCATTGCCTACTTAGGCTTCCTGCCACACACTCGGGTGGTACTTCTTCAAATATTTGCCATTGAGAGCTCGAGGTAACAATGCCCCTTGTATTGATTCCACCAAATATGAATTTCCGGGAACGATTCTTGTAATCCTAAAAGGACCTTCCCAACTTGGAGACCACTTCCCGAATTTTCTATCTCTTGAACCAATCGGCAGAATCACTTTCCAGACAAGATCACCAACTTGAAAATTCTTCAACTTAACTTTCTTATTGTAAGCCCTTGCTACCCTCAACTTATCTCTCTCTATGGCATTCAAAGCAGCCAAACGTTTATCAGCAACCTCGTCAATGTTGTCCATCATCAAGTTATAGAAGTCTATTGCCGATAAATCATTTTGTTTGGCTATTCTCAAAGCATTCAAATTTACTTCCACCGGTAAAACAGCCTCCTGACCATATACTAGCTCATATGGAGTCACTTTCGTAGCACCATGCCTTGAGATTCTATGTGCCCATAATGCCTCAGACAACAAGTCATGCCATCTCCTTGGATTATCCTCAATCTTCTTCTTGATGAGCTTGATTAAAATTTTATTGCTAGACTCAGCTTGTCCATTAGTTTGGGCATAATATGGAGAGGAATTGAGCAACTTTATATTATAAGATTCGGCAAACTCTCTGACTTGGTGTGACATAAAAGATGAACCTTGATCCGTAGTTAACGTTTGAGGAATACTGAATCTATGAATAATATGCTCGGTTATGAATTGAATCACCTCCGTATGTGTCATGTTCTTGAGAGGTACTGCTTCAGACCATTTAGTGAAATAATCAGTTGCCACCAACACGAATCGATGCCCCTTTGAGGAAGATGGATGAATTTGCCCAATAAAGTCTAAACCCCATCCTCTGAAAGGCCACGGCTTGATAATAGGATGCAACATAGCAGCAGGAGCCAATTGAATATCACCAAATTTTTGACAAGCTTCGCACCCTTTATAATATCTGAAGCAATCATTAATCATGGTCGGCCAATAAAACCCAGCACGTCGTAATAACCATTTCATCTTAGGAGCCGACTGGTGAGTACCACAAATGCCCTCATGTACCTCTCCCATAGCAACTCTTGCTTGATCCTCATCCAAGCATTTTAAAAGAACATCATCAACTGTTCGGCGATAAAGGTCATCGTCCCTCATAGTAT